AAGTTGGGAAGGTGCTGAACTGGATCTTGCAAGGAACTTGAATGCCCAGCTCTTTCCCCCACCCAGGGCTTAGCCCTCAGGGAGGTCCTGACCATCCTCCCCTGGCTGGCACTGGGGTCGGGGCCTTCCCTAGAGTGTGGGCAAGGGCTGACCTACCCTGGCAAGCCTTTGGGTGCTGCTGAGGACAAGGTCCCTTGCTCCCATGGGTACCTGTCATTAGAGGAGAAGGGAGCTGATCTGGGCCTGGGGGTCATGGGGCTGGAGGTTGAAGGAGTAGAGTGGGCCCTGTTAACCTGTTGTGGGATTTCTGTCCCTTTGCAGGCTGCTGTAGATGGCCCCACGGACAAGAAGGAGGAGTGAGGGCCTCCCTCCTCCCCTGCCTGTAGCCGGCTTCCACCTGGCACGTGCTTGCTGCTTCCTGAGAGCCCAGCCACTCCCTCCAGTACTTCAGTTCACTCCCTCTCTGCTTCTCCCACTCCCTTTCTCAGTTTGTAGCTTGTCGTCTCAGCCCCCTTCCACTCCCTTCCAAGCATACCACAGGGGACCTGATTGCCACACGTTCAGAACAAGTTTGCTGTTGTCCTGCCCAACCCAGCCCTGGTTTCAATTCCTAAGAGTATGGAGGGCAGTTGGAATCCGGCTTGCAGTAGGGCTTGCTTCCTGCTGGTTTGAGCCCCGTTTTTGTTCTGCTGTGTTGATGTTTTCTCTGGTCCTACAGGAGGGTGGGTGAAGCTGGCAGACTAGAGTTTCTCTTGGGGGCAATAAAGGTGGTTGTTATACATACATGGTGCTTGTGTACAACTCAGGTGTGGGGAGGACTGGCTTTCTCCTTTCTGAAGACCCCGAGTGGCTAGGAGGGTGTGCAGTCAGCTCTTCTAGAGCCGTTCAACTTGTTCCAGCCCCTAATGGCCAGGTTCACACCTGCCCTTGAAGGCCCTGTCCTCTTTGCCCTTCCTGTTCCCTGGGCCAAGCCCCACTTTAGGGCCACTCAGGGAGTGTCTGTCCTGTCCTTCTCCATGGGGGTTGGCAGCTTGGGAGTCTCGGCAAATCAGTGCGGCTTCCGGGTGGCAGACTTGCTTGCTTTCTCTGGGTTCTTGTTCATCACATGTGGGACAGACAGAACGTGGCAGAGTGCCACCAGTCACTCCCTGCCCTACCCCCTCCTGAAAGTTTACAGGATGACCTCTGACTAATGCCAGCTGGGAGAGGAGACTTGTCCTTGACAGTGACCTAGAGCTGGCCTGGGGCAGAAGCTAGGGAGAGGAGAGGTTGGGGACCCCCTGCTCCCTCCACCCCTGAGAACATGCTAGGCAGGGTGCTGGGCTTGCACCTGCCACTAGACCACAGTGTGCTGGCTTGCTGACGTCTCCCTGCAAGGTGGCTGCCTCAGAGCTGTGTCTCCTGGGCCCACAGAGAGGGTGGGTGGCTGGAGCCAGGGCTTCCCACGTGGCAGCTGGGGCTCTGGCCCCGCGCTGTACTGCTGTCTAGCAGGGCATGAGGAAGGAAGGAGGCCCCAGTCCCTAACACCATTCTGGTGCATTGTTCTCTGCTAGTCCCCAACAGCCCTGTATCCTGCAGGGTCTCCGCCACACCTGATGTCTGCACGAGGACTAGGCCGGAGGGTCAGGGAAGCAGGTTAGAGGTGTGTCTCTTGGAATTGGGAGGGGGACCCCTGAAGATGTTTTACACTGGAAGGGTGGCTGCTGGCCAGCCATGAGTTCCCATTCTTGTTTGTCCTGTCCAGGCCCAAGCTGGTAGCTTCTTTCCCTAGCATCCCATTGCCCTTCCTCATGCTCAGAGCAGTCGCCTCACGAGTTCTGTCCTTTTCCAGGCAGTCTGAGAGGTGGTGTCTGGCGGGGGAAAGGGACACGCAGGTGACACCCTCTGGTTGCTATGCCAAGGCTAAAGGCTAGTTGTACTTTTCCAGGAAGTGTTCCCTGACTACCTTGGGCCTCCCTGAGCTCACCCTTCTCTGAGCTTCTAAAGGCTAAAGTCCAAAACAGTGTGCTCATGGGTTCTTCCCCTGCCAGCCCAGACAGCCTCTCCTGCCATTCCTCCCAGGCCCTGGCTAAGTCCCTTCTCCAGGCCAGGCAGTGGGCAGAAAGCTGTACAAGGCCAGCTTCTGGAGCACTCTAATAGGGGGATGGAACAATGACAGGGTGGAGGTCATGGGCTCTTAGAGATGGAAAGCGAGGCCTGTGCCTGAACTAGACTGGAGGGCTGCCCACAGGAAGTGCTTGGCACTCACCCGCTGGGCTACATTTCCCTGGAGCAGCCTGGTTGTTCTGGGCTGTCCATGCCCATAGGTGTCTTGGTCCATTTTCTTGTACATCTGTTAGATTGTAAGCTGCTTGAGAGCAGAGGTTGCTTCTTGTTGATCTCTGTGTCCTAACCCCTAATGCAGGAGTTAAGTCCTGAGTAAAGGGTGCCTACCTACTACTTCAGGACCCAGTTCAAGTGGCCCACCCCTGTGAAGTTCCTTTTTGTAATGTCAATGTTTGGTGGCATTGTGGTCAGTGGTTTGGAGGACGTTTGGCCTGATGGTGAGGGCAACAATTAGCAAAGGGTGGCAGTCATCAGGCAAAGAGACCTGGTTGAGAGTAGCAGGATGGAGGGGGAGTGCCCTGAGTGTGATGCTGGGCTGCAAGCTCCTAATGGCTCTGTAAGGGGCCTGGGGGACCCTGGGTAGAGGTCTGGTGGATGCTAGGAAAGGGCTTTTGTAGCCAGGGAGGGCCAGGCTGGAGACTTGGGAGCTGCCAACAGGTGGGAGCTCTTGAAGTTGCAAGCCTGGTGAGAGCAGAGGGTTTATGGAGGGGAAGGCCTTGCATGTGGTGCCGGGGACAGGCTCTGGAGCCCCTGGGCTGAGTTAGGGTGGGACTTTGTGCCCACTGCCCTCCTCGGCTCCCTGTCAGGTCCGTGTGTTTCTAACCCCAGTTCTTCTTGGTGACAGTGTTCTAAGCCAGAGCCCTCCTCCAGCTCTAGAAGTTTGAGGGATGTTGCCTGCTAAAGAGTGGGAACTCCTGGTGTTCCCAAATAGCAGTCCCGGGAAGGACCTGAGGTGAGCAGCCCAAGCTGTCACTTTTCTCTGAGGAACTACCCTCTCCCCTCTGCCCAGGCTAGACTCGAGTGAGCACCAGCTCCTGTCCCTTGACACCTCCCAGTGCCCACCCTGGCGGATGACTATGCTTTCTGCTCTGCCCCTGGCCACCCTTCAACACCTATGGCACCCTCACTTCCTGGATGGGGTGTCATACACTCATCCTGTGCAAGGACCTGTGTGTACTCACTATCTCCAATTTTTTTCTACCTTCTTTTTTTACTGTGGTAAAATATAACATAAAATGTGCCACATTACCACATTTGGGTGCACAGGTGGTGGTGTTCAGCACATTCATGGTGTCGTGTGGCCATCCCCACCGTGTATCCACAGACCTCGTTCATCTTCCCAAACCCAAACTCTGTCCCCATGAAACACCGACTCCCTGTGCCCCTCCCCAGCCCTTGGCACCCACCACTCCCCTGCCTGTCTCTGGGGACTGGACTGCTCTCGGATACGGCCCCACACAGAAGTGTAATCTTGTAGTATTTGTCCTTTTGTGACTGGCTCATTCCACGAAGCACGACGTCCTCAAGGGTCAGCCGTGCTGTAGCCCGTGGCAGCATTTCCTTCCTGTTCAAGGCTGAGTCATGTTCCACTGTCTGGAGAGACTGCATTTGTTTATCCATACTTCCCTCCATGGACACTCGGGTTGCTTCACCCCTTCTTTCTTCCTTTGTGATTTATTTTTTGGATGTGAGGGAGACAGTCTCTCTCTGTTGCCCCGGGGGTAGAGTGTAGTGGTGTCATTGTAGCTCACCGCAACCTCAAACTCCTAGCTCAAGTGATCCTCCTGCCTCAGCCTCCTGAGTAGCTGGGAGTACAGGTGTGCTACCATGCCCGGTTGCCCTTCTTTCTTAATTCCACTCCAGTCAGGCTTTTGCACACACCCTTCCACCCATGCCTCTCTTGCGCAGCGTCCATGACCTCTGCCAGACCCAGCCAGCATTAGTTGTCCTTGCCCAGCAACACCCGATGGAGCTGATCACTCCCTGCTCTTTGAACCTTGCAGGATGTCCCCAGGTACTCTTGGGTTCACTCCCACCCCTCTGCCGGCTCCACCTCTTCCCTCTGACCTCTGAGTGTCCACGGCTCAGGGTTCAGTGTTTCTGCTCCCTCTCCCTCCATGCCCACTTCTCAGCCTCCCCTGGTGAGCTCAGCCAGACTCAAGGCTTTCAGTGTTATCTATATGTGGTGAGAACTTGCAAAGTTCTGTCTGCAGGCCAGACTACCTGGAATTTCAGACTCCTGTGTCCACCTGCCTACTAGATATCTCCACTTGGATGACACTTTTACACGACACACACAAAGCCACTTCTAATGTCCTGTCCTCATTTCCCCATCACAGGGCCCAGCAACTCCCTCCTCCCCATTGCTCAGGCCAAATCTCTTGGTGTCCTCACTGCCTCTTTGAATCTTGCATCCTAGTCACATGTGGCCCCTGCTGGCTCCACCTTCAAGATAGGTTTTTAATCCAAAGGCTTCGAATCACCTTCAGTGCCACCAAATTGTCCCAAGTAATACCACCACATGCCTGGGTCATTGCTGTGGCCTCCCCCAGATCTGCCTGGCCTTGGCCTGCCCATTCAAGTCCTTCAGGTCTTGGAAGGTTATCTGTTCAGTGATGCAGTCTTGGGGCAACCTTTTCAAGACTTGAGTGCCCACAGCTTCACATCCACCCTTCTGCTCGATTTGCTTTTCTTCCCAAGTGTGTCAGTTCCAGGGGGACTAGGTTTTCCGGCTGTCTTCCCTGCTCCCTTCCAGTTCCTGGACCCCATGCTGGGCACAGAGGCCCTCAGAACATGCTGGCTGACTGCAGCAGTTCAAGCTGGGGTAAGGCCCCCCTCATACCTCCTGCACCCTGTTCCCTCTCAGAGAAGCAGAGGCAGCAGGAGGAGCCACCTTTGGAAAATGACATGTTTTTATTGCTATGTTTGCAGTGGCTTTTTAGCACAGTAAGAATGTCTCCACAGGCCCTCTGCCCTCACCCAGCCCCACCCCTCCAGCCTATGCCCCAGTGTGGGGAGCTGTTCTGGGGACCACTCAGCTATCTCAGGGCTAGACGTGACACAGACGTAGGTGGGTTAAAGCTGCTACAGGGAATACTTGAGATGTGACAAGTGCATCAGCCTTAAGCTTGGATGTGGGAACCATGCCCGGATCCCCTCCCTGGGCTGTACCCATCTACCACGCCTACAGTCATGCCCAGCCCAGGTAGCAGGGTGCAGGCAGGCCTGAGCATGCCAGGTGAGCGGCCCCGGGTCCCTGGGACAGAATACTGCAGCCTCTCGCCTCACAGACTTGTGGGCAAAGGGGTGGCATGGGCTCCCCCCCGAGGAGGCCCCCACCATGCACTTTACTACCCCATGGGACTGGGGACCACATGCACATCCACACAACAGACTTGCATACTCAACAGCTCAAAGCTTTTGTTTTTACCTATGAAAATTAGTTTCTATAAATTCACACTCCTTGGCTAAGGGCAGAGGGGTGAGAGGGACAGGGTGTGGTAAGGAGAGGGATGTTTGGGCTCTTTTCTCTTTTTAGAAATATACAAGCAGGAATCTCTCTGGTCAAGTTTTTATAAAATGTGCAAAATACAAGCCTCCTTTGCCCAGAGGCAGCCATTTATATCTGGTATTCACCTTTGCTAAGAGATAGAGATCTATATATACTTTACATACTCAATGCACACACGCACTCATACCCAAGCTCACACAGTTGACATTGGTGGCAACTGGCACGGGAACCAGAAGGTTCCGTTGCTGGCTGGCTCTCTAAGCTTCTAGAATAGGGAGGGGGAGAGGAGTCTAGCCCATCTGAAATATTTGGCTTGGTTCTGCTGCCCCTCCCTTGCCCCCTCTCTTGTCCTCCCCACCCCCATTTCCTGAGCTGCCTCTGCTGCTTCTAGGGCGAGGGCTACCCAAGGGTGTGTTACGGGGCAGAGCCTGTAGAGGTGGGCCAGGTGGGCATGGCAGGGGTAGGAGGAGATGCGTTGTAGCATTGGAGGGAGAGGTGGGTAAGTGGGGCCTAGGACCAGCTTGGCTAGGGCTTGGGGGGAGAGGCATCTGTTTTTGGTGGGTTGTGATATTTTTGGCGTTTTATTAAAAATGGAAAAAGTTATTTTAGCACTCATGGTGCTTCCTTCCCTCCTCCCCCAGGCAGTCCCCAAAAGTATCAGGGAAAGGCCAGCCTCCTGGAGGAGTAGGGTGGGGGCTAAAGCAGGGCTGCTATGGCTACCGGAGGGTGAGCTGGTGATGTGAGCTGGGCTGCCTGTCACATGACACTTTCCACCACGACGACCTTGCTGCTCTCGGACACGGGGGTCAGGGTGGTCAGGCCCCTGACGTCCGCATCCTGAGCTCTGTACTCCAAGTGGTGGAGGCCCCAGACAGGCTGAGTCAGGTGCTGCCAGCGCTGTGGGACGGGAGGACACATTAAGCACCCCCAGGGTCACTTGACATGGCTTGTTGCCATGACAACTTCCTTTGCCTCTCTGTAGTTCCCACCACCTGCCACCAAGTCAGGGCTGTACCTCCCAGGGAGCCTTTCAGGTTCTGCTGCCTTCACTAGGAAGCAGGGCTGTGTGGATGCTCACACGGAGGGGAGGGAAGCTGGGGATGGGTCCTGTTCCTCCCGCCACCAGCCTTGGTCTGAGCTGGCCATAGGCTCTGGCACAGTGGGACAGAGAAGAGAGGGCTGGAGTGCAGGGCCTTACCTCAGCCATGGTACCCTTAGTCCTGAGGAGGCAGCCCAGGAGGTGGAGGGGCACACACAGCATGGAGGAGAGTGCGAAGGCCCAGCCCATGGCTTCGCCCCACCACGGGTACACATAGGTGTTGTTGTAGACCAGTGGCTTGTAATACACAACGTTGAAGATGAAAATGCCCTGCAGACAACACCTGTGGTTGGTGGGGCCCTCTGCGCCGCACCACCCTGCCTCACTTGCCCAGTCCTTACCATGCAGACCAGCGGGGTGAAGAAGGACCAGCACCATTTCATCCAGGGGCAGGGTCGATGCCCGATCATACAGGCAATGTCATCCATGAAGCGGTCGGCTCCTGGGGAGGGCCAGAGCTGGAAACCCCCTGCCCCGCCCCACCCCACCTGCACCCTCAGCCCAGCCCAGCCCGCGGTCCAAACCTTACCGTACACCCAGGCCACCACCACACACTCCCAAAAGGCCTGCCAGAGCAGGGTAGTGCCGCTGGCTGAGTAGTAGTCAAACAGCTGGAAGACGTACATCCCACCCTGGGAGACATAGCCAGGTCAGGGAGGATGGTGGACAGTGGCCAGAGGCTGCCCCACCCTACCCCCACTCACATCGGTCACCATGGAGAGGTCGATGACAAAGCAGAGGGCGCAGCAGAGGGCCACAGAGATCTCCCTTTGGAAACGGAAGTAGTAGGAGGCCGGGAGGAGGTCGAGGAGGCCAGTGATGAAGCCTTCCACACCTACAAACTGTGGCCAAGGCAGCTCAGGCCAAGCCCTTCTCCTCCCTCCTTGCCCACCAACCACCCCCCACTGGCCCTGACTCCCTGTTCTAGAACCCCCTCTGCAAACCTGGCTGTCAAGACCGAGCAGCAACAACATGAAGAAGAATAGGGCAGCCCAGAGCGGGGCCACAGGCATCAGCGTGACAGCCCGGGGATAGGCGATGAAGGCCAGGCCAGGCCCTGCGGGTAGAAAGGTGCAGGCTCCAGACCCCGGCAGCCTGTTTACTTACCTGCACATACCCTGAGCCCTGCCTGCCATGCTCACGCTCACACCCCCCTCGGAGGTACACCCTGTGGCCAAGAGCTGCAGCCTGGCGTTTCCATTGTTGGCAAGGCATGGCCAGGCCCACCCAAACCCTGTGCATATCCTGTGCTGGGGCCTGTGTGAATGGGCCCTGACTCACTCCGCTTCTGGGCTTGAACAGCAACTGTGCTCACAGGTCACTGTTAACCCCAGAGTGATGTAACAGGGGCTGGGACGAGGCCCTCTTTTGCCCTGTGCAATGCTGATGAATATGAGGACAGACCCCGAGGCCCTTGGGAAGGGATGGAAAGGGCCTGGAGCATGCTGGAGAACAGCTGCGCCAGGCAGCTGCTCAGCTAGGCCTGCCTGTGCTCAGGGCGATCTGACAGGCTCAGTTTGAACTGTCACTTTTCAGAGTTTCTGTTTGTGTGTGTGCTCATGTATGCCATACATCAGGGCTGCAGCTGGCACTCTGAAGGCAGGGCTGAGGCTGGGGCGCGGGGGGGGGGGGGAGGTTTACCTGATTCTGCCACCTTGGAGATGTGCACGCCCTGCTCTGCAGCCATGAAGCCCAGGATGGAGAAGACCACGAAACCAGCGAAGAAGCTGGTTCCACTGTTGATGAGGGCAAGGATGATGGCGTCCCTGGGTGTGAGGCAGAGGGGCTAGTGAGGGTCCTGCTGCTTGCAGGGCCAGCAGGGTGGGGTGGGGGGAGGCGGGGTGCCTACTTGTAGCAGTTGTTGTTGAAACGATTGTAGCTGCCCAGGGCCGTGAGGGCCCCCAGGCCGATGGCGTAAGAAAAGAAAATCTGGGTCCCAGCATCTATCCATACCTGGAGAAAGGTGGGGGAGTACAGGTGTTAGGGACCGTTCCAGGCTACCCCTCCTCTCCCTGCTGCCACATAGCCACCCCCTCCTCACCTGAGGGGACCCCAGCTTCGACCAGTCGGGCTTGAGATAGTAGATGATGCCATCCAAGGCCCCCGGCAGCAGCACCCCGCGCACCAGCAGCACCACCAGGACCACGTAGGGGAATGTAGCAGTGAAGTACACGATCTGGGGGCCCAGGCTGCTTAGGGCCCCAGCCCCAGCCAGGAGCCCCTGTTCTACCCCTCAGAGCCACGGCTACCCCCACAGCATGCTGGGGCAAGGCCAGCACAGGCCAGCTGCACAGGGAGGGGAGAGGCAGGGCCATGGCTCTCAAGGGCCAGGGTCCCTTAGGCACCTCTGCTGTTCTGCAAGGGCAGTGGTGAGCCTCTGTGTGCTCTCCTCTGAGTGGCAGTGCCTGGGCAGCTTCTGCAGTTTGTCCACATGGAGACAGGAAGGTGTAGGGTATGTGTGGGGAGTGAGGACTGTTGGGCAAGGGGTGCATGAGTTTGCCTGAGGTGGGGAGAGTCTGTGTGGGCAGTGCAGGGGTAGGGGTGACATGCACACATCCATCTCAGCCCTGTGGGGCCCATCAGAGTAGGGGACATCAGACGGGGTACATCCCATACCTCCTGGGCCCCTAGCCCAGGTCATCCTCTGTAGAGAGGCAAGGTCCTTAGTCACTAGTGAGAGATTATAACTAGGCCAAACAAACAGAGGCAAGAGAAAGACAAGATAGCAAAGGCTTCTGCCTCCTCATCCAACGTCCAAGCTGGGCCATCAGCTCAGCAAGTACCTGCTCTGGGCCCCCTGCTGGGAATGAGACACACTGGAGTCCTGCCCTCCAGGGACCTGGCCATGTCCCCAGCCCTCAATACACTGTCTCATGTGTCTGTTTATATGTATGTCTCCCTGACCTGACAGCGAGTCCCTGGGGCAGGGATGTGTCCAGATTCCCCTCTGGGTCCCCAAGGCCAGACAGACAGGCAGGTGAGAGAGACAGCCACAGACAGGGCCACCCAGACTGTCAAAACAGACTCGAGAGAAACCAGGGAGGGCAGAAGGGCAGGGATGAGCACGGGACACAGGGAAGAGGCAGCTCCTGCCTGTCCCAGGCCTGCTCTCAGGAGGGAAGGCTGCTGGTGCCCAGATTTGGAGGGTGGGAGGAACATCCACCATGTGGTGGGGAGAGTGTCCTGGATTCAAGTCCCTCCCCTCTCCCCAGGCCCTTGCCCCTCCTGTTGCAACAGTTGTGCCTTACAGAGACACACAGCTCCCAGGGCAACGCTGCCCCCGCCCTGCCCGCCTCCAGCTGTACCTTTCCTGTTGATTTGACCCCCTTCCAGACACAGAAGTACACCAGCACCCAGCAGGCCAGCAGACACAGGGTCACCTCCCAGTTGAGGGCCCCTGGAACCTCCAGCCCTCCAGACAGCCGCAAAACTTTGTTCCTAGGGGAGGGAGACTCTATGAGGGCTGTGCCAGCAGGGCACCGACCAAGCCACTGGGATCTGCCCCGAGGGGTCGTGGCTCCTCCCTCCTGCAGCCCTTGGTCCAGCCGGTCCCTCCCGTCCAGTTGGGCAAGGCTTGCAGGCGCTGTGGTGTGCCTGGAGCCTGGGAGCCCCTGGCTGGCGGGAGGCGGTGGGGCGCCCAGTCGAGCCCCAGGCCTCAGGGCCCCCACCCTATCCCACCCCCTGCCAGGCAAGGCGGGAACCAGGGAAGGGCAGTGACCCGTGTGTCGCTGAAGGAGCAAGGCGCATGTGAGTCCCAGGGACTGGCCTGGGCGCTCCCTGAGGACAGGCGGGGACTGAGAGTGACTGCTCCGCATCCCAGGCTTTGTGTGTTCAGGGCTGAGCCGTTTGTGGGAGACTGGGAGGGGTTGGGGTGGTGGTGTACAGCATGGGCTTGGCCCAGAGGCGCCTGACTCACTCCCAGAACTCGATGACAGGGGATCGGCGGTCAGCAAGCTGGTCACATGTGAGGTTGGCCAGGCTGGCATTGGCACAGTCTTCGTGGCGGAAGATCTCCACACAGTCAGGAGTGTTCCAGGTGTGGCCACATGTGGCCCAGGGCAGCGTGGTGGTGAAAGACTTTACCAGGTAATAGAAGCCCCAGGCCAGCACCATGATGTAGTAGGTGTTGCAGTAGAAGACGATCACCATGGAGGCATAGCCCAGGCCTGGGGACAGGGTGGGGTTCCTTTGCATCTGGATTCTTTTCTGGCTACCTCCCCACCACCCCCATTATCTCCCTTGCCAGGGCTGACAGTGGTTCCTGCTAGGCCCCTAACAGCTTGAACCTCTCCTCATACATCCTACCAGAGACTCCCCAAGCTCTGATCCTCCCCTGTGCATGTGGAACACTGGCTAACTCCCGCCGTGTCAGCCCTATGCCTTGTCCGGCCTCTGTCTAGCTCTAGACCCATCTGCTTTCCTCATAACGCCTGGCCCTTTTTCTCAGTCCTGCTGCCACCACAGTGGTTCCAGGAGGTCCAAACCTCTACCTGGGCCCCCAGCAGCCTCCACTGCACAGCGGCTGGGGGAGCTTGCTAGTAACCTGAGGCAGTGTTGGAGACAGTCAACCTCTCAGTGGCCAATCTCGGCAAGTCACTTCACTTCTCTGTGCTCCAGCCTCCTTGGGGATGATGCTGTGTCCCCACTCCAGCTGTGCTTGGTCCGTCCTTGCCCTGTGGATAGGCCCTATCCCCACTTCTAGTCCCTGACTCCCCAAGTTCAATGTGTGGTCCACGTGGCCTTCAGGTTTCCCCTCATGACTAGGGGGCCATCACATGGCCCCTGGCCTGGTGCTCAGGACAGGAAAAGATCTCTCAAGTGGGTGCCAGCTGTGCTCTACTCCCAAGCCCTTGCCCTAGCAGTGGGAAAAGGAAGGGGTCTCTGAGGGGGAGGAGGAGGGCTGGCCCCAGGGCTGCTCACCTTTGAATAGGGGACAGATGTTCCAGACATTGATGCTGCCGGCCTTCATGAACTGGCCCAGCGAGATCTCCAGGAAGAAAATGGGGATTCCCCCGACCAGGGCGATCAGGACATAGGGAATAAGGAACACACCTGGGGAGAGGCATGGTGGGGGGGCTCTGGCAGAGTCCTCCTGAACACCACAGGTACTCGTACAAGGTGGCCCCTTAGCCAGGTGGGACTTGACACCCCCCGCCCCCCAGCGCCAGGTGTCCCTGGGAGCTGGGCAAAGCCCTGGCCTGTCCTAACTTCCCACTGGGTGAATCAGTGCAGGGCTGGCTGCTGACTCAGAGGCCCAAGGTGAACAGTCTTGGGGGTGGGTTCTGAGTCTGTTGCAGGGAGGGGCTGTGGCAGCCCCTAGGCCATTCGAGCCCTATTCCTTGGGCTTTGGAGGGGACCTAGGCCCACAGGGCTTCCAACCCTGAAGTCACCTGGGGTGACCTAATGGGCATGGAGGACATACACGCTCAGACATGCTGGCTATCCCTTGTGCTGCAATCCCCCGTTTGCCAGGCAGGAAGAGTGAAGGCACGTGCATGTGCATGTGTGTGCGTGTGCCAGGGCTGGTAACTCTGGCCTGGGGGATGGTCTGAAGGCAGGGAGTCCCTGAGCGCCCTGCACTTAGACGTTTGCCTGCAAGTGTGAAGGTCCAAGAAGAAGGGTGGGTGCGTGGCAGTCCTCTGCTGGTGGGGTGTTGGTGTACAAGGACGGAGACAGGTGGCAGAAAGGGGCTGAGCCAGGCTAGAGTGGAGACTGGCAGGGCTAGGCCAGAAGCAGGCTTTGGCCTGCAGGTGGGGGGGGGCAGTGGGAGAGAGGACAGAGGTGGGTACCAACAGCCCCCTTCCACTGCCCCCTCCTCCTTTCTAGGCCTCCTGCCCTTGCCCCTGGCTCAGCTCTCTCCACTACTCAGAGGCTGAGCTTGGCTGCACTGTACCCGGCTCCTGCTCCCAGCATCCTTCTCGTGTGTGACCTTGGACAAAGGCCTTCTCTGTAGGCCTCAGTTTCCCACCCATCACCCAGCCACTTCGGCTTCCCAGCAACCTGAGTGCTGCTTTGCAGTCACAGGACACATGCGTGGCCGTCGCTGTTGCTAAGCTGGGCTCTGGCGGGCGGGTGGGTATGGGGTGTGCATGCAGTGTGTCCAGTGGCGGCGCCAGGCAGGCCAGGCCGCAGGCTTCCCAAGCCTGGCTCAGGCACCCAGTGTTCCAGGCCCAAGCTAAAGGGGAGGGGAGGGAGGGGAGGGGAGGGGGGAGGGACAGAGTGGCCCATTGTGTGTGTGTGTTCGGGTGTGCACACGTGGGGGCCCCACACAATGTACCAGTTGTGTGCCTGACCCACGGGGGCAGCCAAGGCTCCTCACCTCTTGGAGGCCCCCCCAGGAGCAGTCTCCCCTTCCCACCTCGTGGCCAGTCTCTCCCGGAGGAACGGGAGTCTGGGGAGCAGCCCCAGGCCTGGGCAGGAGGCTCCCAGGTGCCCTCCCCCTGCATGCTGCCAGGCACATGACTGGTGAGTGAGTGGAGGCAGCCAGCTGCGCCGCTGACCCCCACAGCCCTGGGGGACCTGCCCGACGCCTGAACTTTGCCCCTGGCTTGGGTGGGCCGCAGCGGGGGAGGGGAGCCCTGGAGTGGAGCAGGGACCTCACCTCCGCCGTTCTTGTAGCACAGGTAGGGGAAGCGCCACACGTTGCCCAGGCCCACGGCGAAGCCCACGCACGACATGATGAAGTCCATCTGGCGCGTCCAGGTCTCACGCGGTGGCACAGCCAGGCGGCTGCCGGGTGCCCCCAGCCCCGCGGAGCCATCGCCCTTGGCCGGGGCCACGTCGGGCCCGGGCGTGATGAGGGGGCCCTTCTTCTCGTCTCCGGACACGCTGTAGATGCCGTTCTCGGCGCTCTTCTTCGCCATGGCCCCGGCGGGCCGCGCGGCCAGGCCGGGGGTCGCGGCGCCTGGCAGGGGTTGGGCGGGGGGCGCGGCGGCACCGGGGAGAGGCCGGAGGCGCGGCCGCCCGGCCTGGGGCGGCCGGCTGGGGACGGGCGGCGGGCGGGCGGGTGCGGGACGGTGGGGCGGCGCAGTCAGAAGCAGTCCACGAAGCACTTGAAAGTGAGCCTGAAGAATCTCATGTGTGTCGGGGCCCGGGGGCGCGCGGGCGCGGCGGGGCCCGGCCGGGCGGCGGCGGCGGGCGGCGGCTCCCGAGGCTCCTGCCTGTGGCTCGGGCGGCAGCGGCGGCGGCCCTCCCGGCCCGAGGCTCAGCCTACCGGGGCGCGGACGACATTGGCGCCGGCTGTCTGCAAGCGGCGGCTGGAGCCGGAGCCTGCGGCCCGCGCCCCCCGCCCTGGCCTGGGCCCTCGGTGGCTGCCCAGCTCCCCCGCGACTGCGGCGGCGGTGGCGGTGGCGGCAGCGACGGCGGCTCGGCGGCTCGGGCGCGCCTCGCCCTCTCCTTCCCAGCGGCGGCGGCTCCAGCCGCTCTTGGGGCCGCGGCGGGCTCAGCGACTCGCCACTGCGCTCCGACTGTCCCACTCTTCCCCAGCCGCCGCTTAAGAACGACTCCGGGGTGATGTCACTGTCGCCCCACCCCCACGACCCGGCGGTCCCCTCCCCCTCCCGCAGCCTCCTCCCGCTAGCTCATCAGTCACTCCGCCCACCTCCTACTGAGGAGGAGACGCCGCTCCAGCGGGAGGCGGAATGGCTGCTACCTACGACGCCCACCAGCACCCCTTCCCCCTGGGGTCCTCGCAGCCCTCGCCCCAGGATCCCGGCCCGGCGGGGCGTGGGTCTCCCAACTTGTCCTTGCCAGCTGTAGAAGAGCGGCTCCCTGGCCCCTTACAGCCATGCCCTCTCTCCTCCCCATCCTCGCAGGCCAGAGCCTGCTCCTCCCGGTGTCCGCCTGGTCCCTGCTGTCCAGCAGCCAGCCACATCTCCACCCCTCTGGCGTGTTGGGTACCACGGTCTCACGCTTCTCCGCTCCCTGCGACTGCATTGGCCTCCTGAAGGGCTGGGCCAATGGCTGGCCTGGAGGGGAAAGACTGGGGTGGCTGTACCTGTCTCCAAGTGTGCTGTCCTGCCTCGGCATGACGTTCAACTCCCCACAACTCTGGAGCTGCAGCCCTGGACGCTGGACTCGCGAGGTCAGGGTCCCAGCTCTTGGGGTGACAGGTCTCTGTGAGTTTCCGAAGTAGGCAAAGGGAAGCCTGCCTGGCTGAGGAGCAAGGCTAGAGTTTGTTACCAAGATAGAGAAGGGCACTGTGTTATAACCCCTGTTCTGCCACCCCTGCCTGGTGTAGGGACAGTAGGGACAGCTGATCTGGGGAAGATGGGGCAGAAATAGGATAAGGCTGCCCCCTGGTGCCTGTCGGGGGTCACAGACCCTTCCCCAAAGGCCTGGGCTTGGAGCTCCTGCTCTGCACCCCCAGCTCCTCTGCTCAGGGACCCCCTAGGCCTCCGCAGAAAGAGCAAGTTGTTGGGCTCCCTCCCCACCACCAGCTGAGCAGCTTGCTCGGAATTTTCTAAGGCCAAGACTAGCCTGGGGTTGGGGCAGGGAAGGAGGGGATCACTGTCCTGGCTTGGGAGGTAGAGTGTGCCCCCCTCAACCCCAGGGCCCCTGATCTGAGCGCAGACATTGCAGTGCCCAGATGGCTCACCCGGTTAAGCTGAGCCCGCAGCCATCCTGCCTGAGCCAGATTGAGCCTGCTCGGTGAGGGAGGGGCAGCCTGCAGGAGCAGCCCTGAGGGGTGTGGATGGAAGGTCCATGTGGCCTGTGCGTAGGCTGACAGGGGCCTCTTGAGGTGGCAGGGTCACACTGTTCATCAGAAGTCCCTGACTTGGGTCTTCTCTGGCCCCGCCCAGGACTGAAGCTGGTCTGGAGACAAAGAGGCAATAGAGAAATGGCCCACAGATGGCCTGCAGAGCTGGGGCCACCCAGGGATCAAGGACAGAGAGGAAAGAGGACAGCCCAGCCAAAGCACAGGCAACCTCTGCGGCATTTGAGAGAGGAGAGAAGAGGACCTCTCCCCAGCAAGATAGGGAGGGGGTGGGGTGATGCCAATGAAGGGAGGGTGGTGACCTGAGTGAGGGAGAAGTGTAGGTAGAGGCCATGGACTTGGACAGGGGGAGGTGAGGGTGTGGTGGGGTGCAGGTGACTCTTTCAAAAATTTGAGATCTTGCTAGTCCAAGGGGAGGGTGGAAGGGAGAGAAAGCATGGCTTGAAAAGGACATGGGTGAGCCGATGACACTTTGAGGAAGTGGCCACTACATCGGTCCCTCCTTTGCCCTGAGCCTGCTGGCTGGGAGGGGAAGCAGATTCCAAGGCCAAGGGCAGGACCTTGAGGGAGCTGCCACCTGGGATTGCTGTTACCTCTGTGGGATCAGAGACTGCTGAGGGAGAGGAAGAGGTGACTGGGCTAGAGGTGGCCAGGGACAGAAAAGAAGGGCAAGGTGGCTCCCACTGCACCATGAACCACTGCCTTCCTAGGGGGTCTCCAGACTCTTAGAGCTGAGGCCTCCACATTTGGGGGGGGGCAGGTCCAACAGGCTCCCAGACCTAACTCAACAGGGCCACACTCCCCCTTGCTCCCCAACCTTGCATCTTGGTCCCCCTCTCTGCATCTGCTCCCCACATCTTGCTTCCCAGCCCTGCTCTGACAGCAGGGCCTGCAGTTCCCTACGCAGACCCTTCCGGAAAGCATCTGCTTTCCCCTGCACCACTGCCAGCCAGTGACCCCCTGGCTCACCTGGACCCTGCAGTAGCAGTGGCCTCCTCCTTTGGCCTGGTGCAGCCGGAGGGATCCTCTTGAAGCACAAATCTGACCAGTCTCGCCCCTGTCTGAGCTCTTTCTCTGGGCTTTTCTGTGCCCTGGAGATGAAACTAAATTCCTCTCCAAGCCATACAAGATCCGCATGAACTAGACTTCGGCCTCCCCAGCTCCGGCCGCCACTGGCGAGCGGCGTGCTCCCTGAGCTTCCCTCTGTGCTGGGCCTGCTGTCTGGCTTCCCTTCCTTTGCAGGCCTCCCTCTGCTCCTTCAGGACTGCCGGTTCAGGAGGCCAAAGAGGCTGTGGGAGCCGTCCCCTAGCCAGCCACCATGGTCTGCCCCCGCTTGGGCTGGCTAGGCTGAAGTTTTCTGGAGCGGAACCCGGGCTGGAGCTTTGGCCTCCCGCACCCTGACCAGCTCACTGCTAGTGACAGTTACAGTGTTGCCTGAGGCAGCTCCAGGAGGTGCTGTGCCACTGGGGAACAAAGGCAAAGGGATTTCCAGCCCCGGGTGGGCTCTCTAGCGGGTGTGTGTGTGTGTGGGGGGGTCGTTCTCTGGCTGTGTCAAGGCACATCGTGCCCTCTCCCAGAGGCAGCAGGGGCTGGGGAAGAACAGGGTAGACCCCCCAGGTCCCCAGCTAAGGGCCTGGAAGCTGGCCCTGGCTGGCCCTGTGCAAGCATCCGCGTGTCCTGCCAGGCAGGGCTGGGGTTGGAGTAGGAGCTGAGGCAGAGGGGGGCAATGGGGGCTGGAGGGAGGGCTCCTGTTTGTTGGGAAGCCCTCTGGGCCTAGGGCAGCTGGTTGGGCAGCTGGAGACAGGGTAGGGGTGCCTTCTCTTCTGGAGGCACATTGAGCTTTGGAATTAGAATTAGCTGGGAACAAAGAGAAGCCGGAGTCCACCTGGAACGGCTTTGTACTTCCAGCTCCTGGGAGGGGGCTGCAGCCAAGCAGGAGAGGGGAAAGAATGGGTTGGGGCAGGGGTCGTGATGCTGGGGGACAACCCGACCTGTTCTCCCCCGCCTCAAACCACACCCTCCCCCCCCCCCCCCGTGCTCTTGCCTACCAGCTGCGCCCCGTCACACAGACACTATGAAAGGAGTTTTGGGTTTGCTCTTTACCTTTTACGTCAGACTAGTTTTAAATGTACAGAAAACTTGTGCAGACAGTGCCAAGAGTTCCCCTTCGGCCCCTCCCAACTTCTCTGTGATGAACCTCCTACAGCAGGGTAGGGTGCGTTTATTGCAGTTACTGAATCCATGTTGCTCCATTGTTATTAACTAAAGCCATACTTTATTCAGATGTTCCTAGCTTTTCCTTAGTGTCCTTTTTTTCTGTGCCAGGACCCCACATCGCACTTAGTCGTCATGTCTCCAGAGGCTCCTCTTGGCCATGACAGTTTCTCAGCCTCTCCTTGCTCTGGGCGCCACTGCCGTTCCCACACCATTAGACTGACCTCAGGAGCTATCACTATCTGTGTGACCTTGATGGCCTGGCCACTGTGAAGTGACTCTTGGGAAGGAGGCTTAAGGAGTGGAGAGTCCTCTGCAGCCTCCTACAGAAACGATGTGGGATTCTTCCGCCCCGGAGGTTTGTTTACTCTCCCACGTTGATTGATTTAATGGTTTATTTATAACAATAAGAGTACGGATTCATGGAAATTTATCTCATACTTTTGATTGTAATCTAATATTACTCTATTTATTTTGTTATTCAACTTTTCCATCTTTGACCATTGGGGGCTCTTTCAGTTGGCTCCCATGTCCCCCTGACAAGCCCCCTCACTACATGTGGGCATGTGGGTTTGAGTAAGTACTTCCTTACTTTCTGGCCCAGGCCCATCTTGTATGTTTCCTGCCTCAGTCTTAGAATCAGCCATTTCTCCAAAGAGCCATTTTCTTGGAGAATGGTGTTAGAAACTAAGATCTGGGCTCTAGGTGTACTCATTGCTACTGGAGTACTGTTGCTGACAGAGCAAGGGTATTTATATATGTACTAACCCACATATATACACATATCTATAAACACATACGTATGCATCAGTATCTATATTAAACTAAACACTAGCTGGGTGTGGTGGTGCACACCTATAGTCCCAGCTACTTGGGAGGCTGAAGTAGGAGGCTCCCTTGAGCCCAGGAGTTCTAGGCTAAGCGAGCTAAGATTATGCCGCTGCACTCCAGCCTGGGTGTCAGAGCGAGACCCTGTCTCTAAAAAATAACTAAAAACTAAACACCAGTTCATACTCACTGATGTCTATAGCTCTGTCTGCTCCATGACCACATGGGTCACTTGAGCCTCCCAGTGGCTGGTCTAAATGTGAGGACCCTGGCTCCCAGCACTGGCCAGCCATGCAAGAGATCGTTTGATCCAGTAGGAAGGTGGAATGGTTTCAGCATTGTTAATGCATACCCTCATAGGGAATGACTGTATCAACTAGATCAAGTGCTATGTGTAGTTCATTTCCAAAATCCCCCTTTCAGCCCAACCCCCTTCAGTGAGGCTGCTTCGTACATTTCTAGTACAGTAAGATTCTTTTGTCACAGTCTGCATTCCATCCTGGGTTTCCCCAACCTCCTAAAAGATTATTTTAAATTTGCATATGTTAAGGGTTCGCTGCCCTGGAAACTCCCTGCACTGCCCCTAGTCAAACAATGTCTCCTCTCAGCCCCCTGGCAACCACTGATCTGATCTCTTATCTGTTTCTGTAGTTTTGCTTTCTCTGGAATGTCATACAAATAGAATCATATAGTATGTACTTTTTGTCAGATTGCTTTCTTTCCCTTAGCAACATGTGTTTAAGACTCATCCATTTTTTTTGTATGGCTTCCTAGCTCTTTCCTCTTCGTCACTGAATAGTATTCCATTGTTTATCACTTTGCCTACCATTTGCCATCTCGGTTGCTTTCAGGTTTTGCCAGTTATGAATAAAGCTGGCATAAATATCCATGTGCTGGTTTTTCTGTAGGCATAAGTTTTCAATTCAGTGGGGTAAATACCAAGGAGTGTGATTGCTGCATCGCATGGTAAGAGCGTGTAAGCTTTGTAAGGAACTGCCAACTGCATTCCAGATTGGCTACACCACTTCGCGTCCCCCCAGCAATGAATGCACATCCTCACCGGCATCAGGTGTTGCCAGTGTTCTGGATTTTGGCATTCTAGTAGCTGTGTAGTGGTGTCTCCTTGTGGTTTTAATTCACAATTCCCTAAATGATGTATGATGTTAAATATCTTTTTATATGCTCATTTGCCATTTGTATATCTTCTTTGGAGAGACTTCTGTAAACATCTTTGGCCCATTGTTTAATTGGGTTGTTTGTTTTCTCACTGCTGAGTTTTAAGAGCTCTTTGTATATTTTGGATACCAGTCCTTTATCAGATGTGTGTTTTGCAAAGTTTTTTTTCCCAGCCTGTGGTGTGTCTTCTAATTCTCTTAATAACGTTGTTTGCAGAGCAAATATTTTAAATTTTGTTACAGTGCAATTTATTGTTTTTTCTTTCATGGATCATGTTTTCCATATTGTATCTAAAAATTCATCATCAAGCCCAAAGGAACACAGACTTTCTCCTCCGTTTTCTTCTAGAAGTTTTCCAGCTTGGCATTTTACATTTACATCTCTGATCCATTTCGAGTTAATTTTTGTGTAAGATGTCCCCTGAAAGGATTTTGAAAAGCTCTTTATCCACCACCATCACTCAACACACACATATGCATTTTGAAGTTGATATCTATAGAATTTCAACAAATGTTTATAAACAGTTGCAAAGGGTGTATGTAATTTCTGGTGTATCATTCATGCACAATATAATGATTTAAAGCTAAAATTATGCTATCACTTTTTACACAAGGCCAGTGGCAACTAAATCATTTGGTGAATTGACAGCTGCCTTCCTCTCCAACACTCCTCCCCCACTTTGGAAGTGGGTCCTGTTTTCTGGCTCGGTTCCCTCTGTTGCCCTTGTCTCCATGTGCCATCTCTCTTCACATGGGCAGTCTTTTATTACTCACACTATCATATTTCTCTGAAACACAAATATATGTGTATAGATTCCATTTCTTTTTGCAACCCATGACCGGAGTGGAGCCCTGATAATGTTTCTTCTTCTGGTTTGATCAAAGCTGCCTCTTATTAGACACTCAGATGAGTAAAGAACTGTAGGTATGTACAAAAGCACTCACCTCCAGCTCCATTCCTATTTTTTCTTTTTTAGGTGTAAGCCCCAGGCAACCTCAGTCGCATGTTTCCTTGTGGTTTGATGAGCAGCTGGGGTTGGAACCCACATTCCTGAGTGCTGGAGCCCCTGCAGCCTCCAGTTGGGAACCGGGAGGGGGATTGGGAAAGGCCAGGGTGCAGAAGCTGGCAGGGGCCTTCTCACATTTCCCAGTTTTTGGACAGAGTACATGTGGGATTTCAGGTCTGGAAAAATTATTTTAAAAAGGTCCTTCCTGCCTCATGGGCCCTCTTGAAGCCTTTATCATGCCAGGGGCCCACAGATTGCTGTGAAGACTGGCATTCAGCAAGCCACTCCTGGACCCTGCAACTTGGCAGAGCTCATGTGACACTGTGGATGTGCCCCTGCCAACAGCCAAGACACCTGCACCCCACCCTGGGAGGGATGCCAGATCCTCGGTGGGGCTGAATGGGAGTGAGGGCTGGAAGTAGGATTAAATTCAGTCACCCAGCACTTATTTCCTAAGCACCGCCCTGGGCTGGGTAGGCAGAGACATGCTGGGAACTGATGTTTTGGTGAGGAAGATCTGACAAAGAAGGTGATTTTGCAGTGACGGACTGTCTGAAGGCAGGGCAGGTTATGTACTGGAGAATTGGCAGGGAGGCCCGCTGAAGCGGGGCATTGGTGCTGAGCTCTGGTGGAGCAGGGAGCTATCTATTGCATGAGCATTCTGGGCAGAGGGGTGGCGAATGCAAAGATTGGCAGGTGTCTGCATGGTGTGTTTGGGGCCCAGGTAGGAGGTCAACATGATTGAGAAAGGCACAGTGGCAGAAGCCACTGTAAGGACTCGTGCTTTAACTTAGAGTGACATGGAGAACCGTTGAAGGGTGACATGATCTCAATAAAAGGAATGTTCTGGCTGCTGGATGGAGAAGAGAATGAGGGCGAGGGGCTAAGGGTGTGGAGGCAGAAAGAACCCAGTGAGTGCTGAGGCAAAGGTGGCAAGTGGCTGTGGCAGGGTCTCAGGGACTGGGAACTAGGGAAAGAGGCTGTTTCAGACCAAATGGCCCGGACGTCTGTCTGTGGAGAGGACGTTGAAGCAGAGACTGGAAGGCAGAGAGCCACGCCAACATGTGGGTGCAAAGGCCCTGGGGCTCGGCCTGGCCAGGGCGCACCGCTGGACGCGGGCCGAGCAACCGAGGAGCACAGGAACCGATCGCTGCCTTACAAGGCGTCCTGCAGCCGTGGTAGTGCCCAGCCACCACATGCCTGGCTGCCAGCGGCCGGCAGGGACGCGCGCGGAGGGGGCGGGGCCGGCGGGGTACAGCGAGGCGCTTGGCGCTACTGCCACTGCGTGATGCGACGCTGCGGCTCCGCTCCAGGTCCGCACCTGCTGCCTTGGGCGCTCACGCGGGGAGCTCCAGGCTCCCGGCCACGGCTGCCGCAGTCCCCGCGCACACTAATCATGCCGCGCGCCGCCCCCACCCGCACGTGCTCGGCCCACGCCACTCGGGACGCAGTGGCCAGGCTCCGAGTGCCTCCTGGTCGGAGCCGCCAAGGGCCGGGCTGCGCCTGGGCAGCCGCGTGGGTGACCAAAGTCTTGGCAGGTGGCTGTGCGCGGGGGAGGGGGGGTCGCAGGTGCATCTGGGGCGGGTTGCTGGCCTGGGTGGCGCATGCCTGTGGGCGCTGTGCCATGGGTGGCGGTCTAGGCGGGGGTGGGGTGGGGAGGGGTCTGGGCGCTGTGGGTGGGGGTGGGCTCCGAGAGACCGAGGCGGGGGTGCACAGAGCCTTCTGGAAAGCGGCCTGATTGAGCTGGTTTGGATGTGTGGAGGCAGAGAAGGGGTGTCAGGGTGGGGGCAGCACCAGATGGCAGCCGTGTACCTAGGGTGAGGAGGTGTGTGTGTGGTGGCCTTCGTGGGAGGTGTCCATCTGGGAGTGTGGACCTGGGCAGTGGGGGAGGGAGTGAATTGGGGGGCAGGGGCTTCCCTGAAAGGCAGAGGGATGAGGGTGGGGGAGGAGGCTCCCCCTCACCCAGGGGACCTCCCTCCACCTCTCTTGTGCCCCTCCAGACATGCTGTTGCTCAAGAAACACATAGAGGACATCAGCAGCATCTATGAGATCTGGGAGAAGCGGGGCTTGTGAGTGTGTGTGTGTGTGTGTGTGTGTGTGTGTGTGTGTTTGGTGGTGTGTGTGTGTGTGTGTTTGGTGGTGGGTGTGTGAGATGGTATGTGGGGGTGGTGGTGGCATGGGACCAGGGAGAGCCCTTCACCCTCCTGCTGCTTTCCCTCTCCCCCCTCCCTTCCTGCCTCCCACCTTCTGGCTCTGTGGCAGGGGCGCCTTCTCTGAGGTGGTGCTGGCCCAGGTGCAGGGCTCCGCACACCTTGTCACCCTCAAATGCATCCCCAAGAAGGCCCTTCGGGGCAAGGAGGCCCTGGTGGAGAACGAGATCGCGGTGCTCCACAGGTGCGCAGTGGGGATGGGAGCCCCTTGGTCTGTGAGGTGTGCCCTCCGCTCTGGTCCAGGCCTGGTCACCAACCTGCTGGGGGGCCTTGGGCAGTTCTCTTTCCCTCTCTGGGCCTGCATGTCCCCATCAGCAAAACTAGAGGGTTGATATTGATCTGCACTTTTCAAATGGGCTTTAGAAACATGTGTCTCAAGGAAGGCCTGGGCTCAGGGCTGGGGGTCTGTTTGCCCTCCTGGACTGGGCAAGGGTGGCCTTTGGTAGGGCCTGGGGATAGGGCTGGGAGGAGGAGAAGGAGGAGGAGAGGGACGGGGGCTGTCCTGGGGCCCAGGGTGAAGTACTCCTGCCCTCTGCTGCAGTCCTGGAGGGGGCCCTTGGCAGCCCACAAGGGGCTCCTTCTTGCTGTTGCAGGGTCAGTCACCCCAATATTGTGTCTCTGAAGGACGTCCACGAGAGCCCTTCCCACCCATACCTGGCCATGGAGCTGTGAGGATGGCTGGGGCAGGTGTGGGGGCTGGGGTGGGGGCTGAAGCTGGGTCAGCTGAACCCCTGGTTTCCCTCAGGGTGACAGGTGGTGAGCTGTTTGACCGCATCATGGAGCTCAGCTCCTATATAGAGAAGGACACCAGCCACCTGGTGGGTCAGGTCCTGGGCACCGTCTCCTACCTGCACAGCCTGGGCATTGTACACCAGGACCTCAAGGTGCCTGGCCCTGTCTGTTTCCCCGTACTCACGGCTGAGGCCTTTCCCAGTACCCCTCTCCACCAAGGGTTTCAGGAACTCGGGAGTGCCAAGCCCCTACTCTGTCCCCACACCAGGGCCATCCCAGGACTGACCTGGTCCTTTCTTTGGTACCCATGTGTCACAGCCAGAAAACCTCCTCTATGCCACCCCATTTGAAGACTCCAAGATCTCTGACTTTGGACTCTCTAAAATCCAGGCTGGCAACATGTTAGGCACTGCCTGTGGGACTCCAGGATATGTGGGTAAATGACGGAGGACAGCCTGAGGCTCGCTGGGGAGTGGAAGGAGGTTGGGGGACCCCAGGGGACTGCAAAGGCTGTGGTACCTATTGCCTCTGGGTGGGCCATTCCTGGGCTTGAATCAGCTGAGCCAGTGCTGACCAGCATGATGTGTGTGTATGCATGCCTCTGTCTGTCTCTGGTTCCCAGCTCCGGAGCTTTTGGAGCAGAAACCTTATGGGAAGGCCGTAGATGTGTGGGCCCTGGGTATCATTTCCTACATCCTGTGAGTGATCATTGGAAAGGCTCGTCTCCTGCCTGACTGCCCTTGCTGGGTTGGGGAGGGTGGGATAGCTGGGTGATTCGTCTGTGGGTGCCAGGCTGTGTGGGTACCCCCCCCTTCTACGATGAGAGCGACCCTGAACTCTTCAGCCAGATACTGAGGGCCAGCTATGAGTTCAACTCCTCTTACTGGGATGACATTTCAGAATCAGGTGAGCCTGGGGCCAATCCACGCCTGGGGTAGTGAGGGGGTGGGGTAGGGCCCGCTGAGCCGGCCTCCCTGCTCCAGCCAAAGACTTCATCCGGCACCTTCTGGAAAGAGATCCCCAGAAGAGGTTCACCTGCCAACAGGTCTTACAGCACCTTTGGTGAGTGGGACCTCTGTCAAGCTGTCCCAAGGCCAGAGGGACCACCCCTCAGACCACCCCTCTTACCCCAACCTTCCCCCAGGATCTCCGGGGTTGCAGCCTTGGACAGGAACATCCTAGGTTCGGTCAGTGAGCAGATCCAGAAGAATTTCTCCTGGACCCACTGGAAGGTCAGCATGGAGAGGCCCTTGGCTGCCTGGTGGCTGCTGCTGTCCTCACAGTCTTGGGGCTGGGGCTAGGCGTGGCCTGACTTCCCTTTCTTCCTGCAGCGAGTGTTCAATGCCACTTCGTTTCTGCACCACATCCGTAAGCTGGGGCAGAGCCCAGAGGGTGAGGAGGCCTCTGAACAGGGTATGGCCCAACACAGCCACCCAGGAGGCCTCCGGGTTGGACAGCCTCCCAAGTGGTGATGCCCAGGTGTGTGGGATGGGCCCTCTCCCCTGGGAGCTGGATCCTTGGAGAGCTTAGCTGGTGGTGGTGCTCCCTGTGGCCAAGATCTAAGGGGGAGGGGAGGCCCACAGACCAGAGGGCTGGCGACAGAGGGCACAGAGGGGAGGCCCCAGGAAGGCCAGTGGGCGCCCTGCATCAGGCAAGGGGGTAGGGGGTGAGCAGGGCCCTGCTCTGGACTGTCTCTGTGAGATCCAAGGCAGGACCAAGGCAAGGGGCACAGGACAGGTGGAGGGCGCCTTCTGACTACCCCCTTCCTCTGCTTCTCCCCCAGTAGATGCTGAGGCCAAGTGGACTGACCCTAGAAGTCCCCTTCCCCACTCCCTGACTCTGGGCTGGCCTCTGCTGGAGTTTGAGACGTGGGTGTGGTCAGGGGTGGGGCACCCCCCCCAGGCTCTGGCATTGCCAAGGGGCAGTGGCTCCTCTCCCCTGTCACCTCTGCCACCCCTCCATAAGCAGAGGTGGCCTGGGCAGGTGGGTTTCAGGGGCTGTCCTCCCTGCTTCGCTGACTGTGAGTAGTCCTGCTTGTGCCGTGGTCCTACAGCCCACTCCGAGTTTTCCCCAAACCAATAAAGACAGAGCAATGGGCCAGTGGTGAGCTGGGTGTGAGACAAGTGTGGAGTGGATGGGGGTCACCTGTGGGAAGGAAACCAATGGGACTGTGCCACCCAAACCTCTGCTCCCTTGCATGAGGGCAGACAAGCTCTTGGTTGTCCAAGAACTTCCTGTTCCATGCCCCCCCCCCAAAAAAAAACAAAACAGCAGCTAACTGCAGCCTGGCCAGCCAGCTGTGCCACCCTAGAGGTCTGGCTGTGCAGCCTTGTGGCCCTAGGAGAACATGGAATGCCAGCAGAGGTGGATGGCAGGGGACTAAATGGGGGTCCGAGCAGTGCTGGCTGTAGGCCCCAGGGATGGGCTGCAGTGCCCCTGATGTGTAGGGCCAGGCCTGGGTGTCCCAGCCAGGGCCGTACACTGGGAAAGGCTCACAAGTGCACGGAGGGTGACCCAAGCCCAGGGCTGTCTCCTCCATGGCTGCTGCCTCCTCTCCACTCTCCCTTCCTTTCTTCCCCTTCTCCATGGCCAGATGTCACCTTGTTGGGCAGAAAAGTAGGGAACCCCAGGGTCAGAGGGTGAGGAGGGATTCCTTGTTCAGGAGAGGATGTCACCGGGGGCCTCCACCCCTGTGCTGGGCTGGGGCTTTGGAACTCATGGGCTCCAGGCTCAGGTGGACCTAAGCTGGCAGCTGGGCCCCTGGGAGCAGTGACTGGTTGGTTATAGCCTCTGGTGTGAAGAGCCACTGCCTATCCTCTGGTTGGAGTGGCCCCAATCCCTCAAACCTCCAATCTGATTGGCTAGAGCTCCAGACACCTGTCTTGCTGGGCTCCAGGCCTCTCCTGGCCCTCTGGGCCTTTCTCCTGGGCCCATCAGGGGAAGACCCCAGGGACACTTGTTGGCCCTAGCCAAAGTTCCAGGCGAGCTGGAACTCATTACCCTGCCAGCCCCCCGGGTGTGAGCCCGAAGACCTGTAGCCTGGTCCGAGGATGATTGAAAGGACCCCTCTCCTTGTCAAACTTCAGGACCCAGAGGGAGGTGGCAGGGCCCAAACCATGGATGGCTGGGTCTAGGGGCAGAGGCTGGGGTGGGCTTCAGGGTTGGAAGCCGGGGTGGGGCGGAGGGGGGGGAAGGGGGGCTGGACTCCATCTCTATCCCCTGGCCCCTTCCAGGCCATCCTTTACCCCAGGTTTTGGGTCCTCCCATGCAGTCCTGCTCTCCCCAACATCTAGCCACCTGTCAGGGACCCTTCAGCCAGTCCCACGGCCTCCTCACCTCCAACAACCTGTCCTGCCTCCCTTTGCCCCCCACCTGGGGCCTTGTTATCTGTGGGCATTGACATTGTCACCAGCATCCGTGTTGCTGGCTCTGCTTGCCATCTTTTCAGTTGTTCACACTGGGGTTCCACAACACCTACTTGTTCTTGCTTTGTTCGTTAAATATTTATTGGGCCTCTACTCTGCCGGGTGCTGGGCATGGCTGTGCCCACAGGGTCAGGTTCCTGCCTTCCATAAGGAGGCCCTTTCGTGGAGGGGTGGTTTTACCGGGATAAGAATGATCTTCAGGGGGAACGCGGCGTGCTGGCTGCTCCAGCAGCCCTGAGCAGGAGTGCCAGAACAATCCTTCCAGAAGAAATTGGCACCCGCTCAGAGATGCACAGCTCTTCCAGTCCAGGCATGTGGTCAGATGGCCCCTGCAGCTTTGGGGCCCCAGCTCCAGGCTGCCTGGGCACAGGGTGCAATTCTGCAACCTGTCAGCAGGGTGCACCATGGTCCCATCTTTAGACATCCATTAGCCACCTCTGGTTCCTTCAGCACCTTGGCAGCCTCTCAAGTCCATTCCTCCTGTCCACTGCCCCTTGAGATCCTGCCTGGGGAAGTCCACACTTCAGGGAGAGGTCCTGCCCATCTGGGAGCGGAGCAAGAGGTGGAGACCCCAGGTCAGGCAGAGGCGCACCCCTCTTTCATCTCTCCAAGACTTTCCCATCCAAGGAGGGCAGATTGGGTCACCTAGGCAGTGGCGTGCACAGCCCAGGAGACAGAAAGGACTGGTTTAGCCCAAGGCTGAAGGTGGTGTGTGGGTGGGGAGATGGCCAGGGAACTTGGGGGCGCCGCTGTGAGAGCACTGAGGCTGACAGCAGGAGGGACTAGCAGACCGAAGCCTGGCAGGGAGGGAGGGGGCCTTAGTCTAGAGCAGTAGGGAGTCTGGCAGTGGTTGAAGCCAGAGAGTGTCCTTACCCAGCTGAGGTTGGACACCAAGACTGAGCTGGCTGTAGAGCTCCAGCACTGTGACTCCAGAGCCAGCTGAAGGAAGGGGGTTCGGGGAACCCATTGTTCTGACATCCTTCTCTTTGCAAATATGTATCTAGCTTTATAGCTGATATTTATGGGAAGTCTATTCCTTCTAATAAAAAGAATGCTAACAGTGATTCTTCATTGAGCACTTACTGCATGCCAGGCACTGTTTTTGAAGAGCTTCACATGTGTTAACTTGAACTTCACCTGTGAGGTAGCTATCATTACCATCATCTGCACTTTATATATGGAAAAACTGAGGCATAGAGTGGCTAAGTAACTGAGCCAAAGCCACACAGCTGTGGCAGAGTGAGGATTTGACTTCACACTCTTCCATTGCACCCTCCTGCCTGCCTCCATGCAAGCAAGGTCTTGCCTGGGCCATAAGAATTGTGGGGAATAGAGGACACAAGGAGGGAGTCCTTTCCACCCCGCCCTTTGTGAATGCAAACTAGCAGCGTGCTTCAGGAGGAAGGACTCTGTGCTGTGTTTGAGTTTGGGCTTTGCAGGTGGTTTGTGTTGCTTTTAACATCCTCTGTGTGTCAATTTTAGGTTCTGTCAGATGGGGACCTAAACCTAACATGGTAGGTCTCCACAGTGGTAGGGATAGACCATGCGATCGGGGCCCTGCAAAGACCCCTCTAGACTTTGGTGTGAGGAAAGGCCGGGAGTGGGGCAGGGCTGGTGGCTGGGAGATATGTCTGGCCACGTGGGAAACAAGGCAAGAGATGTAAAGAGCCTGTGCCAAGGCAGCTGAATTGGGGCTGGAAAGGGGAGCTGGGGTATGGTGGACTCAGCAAGGGCAGGGGCTGGGGTAGCTTGTGGGGCAGTTGAGGACATTGCCAGGGAAGCCAAAAGAGAAGCAGGGCTGTTCAGGAGATGAAAGGGCAGGCCAGGCACCTTCGGCCAGGCAGTGGCCACATTGGCACCATACGCTGCATATCCCTTCTTGCCAGGCACTGTTTGGGCACATGGCAAACATGTTCTCCACCACACCTCGCCTTCATTCCGGCATCCTTATCTCCATCTCCAGCCCTAGGTGGGCAATATAAGAAGCGTGAGAAGTAATCAAGAACCAAGTGTGGTTGACTGGAGGGCCTGTGAGAGGAAGTGGCTACAGATCAGCCTAGAAAGTGAACTGTTTCAAGAGGGCATTGGAAGCCACTGAAGGGTTTTAAGCAGAACAAGTGACAGGATCATATTCTTGCTTTAAGAGAGTTTTTCAATATTTTTCAGCCCTATTTGGCCCCTTTTGAGAAATATAAAAACCTCATACCTATGTCTCCAAATCTCCTCCCTCACACCCTGTGGAAATTTCTATAGTTTTCCTCGTCCCCCAGGAGCCAAGTCTGAGCAGGGGCCCAACTACTCTTTGCCAGTTTCTTCTTGTACTTCTTTCAAGTATTGCTTTTTGTATTTTTAAGTTGTGTTATTAAGTGCATATGAGTTGAGAATTGCTATATATTTCAAGTAGGTTGACTATTTGATCAAAATGTAGTCACATTCATTAGTACTAAAACGCTTTTCCTTTATAATCTACTTTGATATTAAAGTAGCAACCATAACTTTTTATGATTAATATTTGCCTGGTATATCTTTTTCAATCCTTTTCCTTTCAAACTTAAAATTTGATTTTTATTGAAATACAATTCACATACCATAAAAGTCACCCTTTAAAATGTATAATTCATGTAATCCTAGCACTCTGGGAGGCTGAGGCGGGCGGATTGCTCGAGGTCAGGAGTTCAAAACCAGCCTGAGCAAGAGCGAGACCCTGTCTCTACTGTATATAGAAAGAAATTAATTGGCCAACTAATATATAGAAAAAATTATCCGGGCATGGTGGCACATGCCTGTAGTCCCAGCTACTTGGGAGGCTGAGGCAGGAGGATCACTTGAGCCTAGGAGTTTGAGGTTGCTGTGAGCTAGGCTGACGCCATGGCACTCACTCTAGCCTGGGCAACAAAGTGAGACTCTGTCTCAAAAATAAATAAATAAATAAATAAAATAAAATGTATAATTCAGTGGTTTTTAGTATGTTTACAAAGTTGTCTAATCATCATCACTATCTAATTCCAGAACATTTTTATCACCCTGAAAGGACACCCTATATACATTTGCTGTCACTCCCCATTTATACTCCCCCAGCCCTTGGCAACAACTAATCAACTTTCTGTCTCTGTGGATTTGCTTATTCCAATATTTTATTTTATTTTATTTTATTTTTTATTTTTTTTTTGAAACAGAGGCTCACTCTGTTGCCCAGGCTAGAGTGAGTGCCGTGGCATCAGCCTAGCTCACAGCAACTTCAAACTCCTGGGCTCAAGCGATCCTGCTGCCTCAGCCTCCCCAGTAGCTGGGACTACAGGCATGCACCACTATGCCCGGCTAATTTTTCTATATATATTAGTTGGCCAATTAATTTCTTTCTATTTATAGTAGAGACTGGGTCTCGCTCTTGCTCAGGTTGGTTTCGAACTCCTGAACTGAAACGATCCACCTGCCTCGGCCTCCCAGAGTGCTAGGATTACAGGTGTGAGCCACCACGCCCGGTCCCAATATTTTAAATGAATGGAATCCTACCATATGTGGGCTTTTGTGTCTGGCTTGCCATTAGCATAATGTTTTCAGGATTCATCCACATTGTAACATGAATCATAACTTCATTCCTTTTTATAGCAGAATGATATTAATACTGCATTCTGTGGATGGACCACATTTTAATTACCATTGATGGACATTTGGATTGTTTCTACCTTTTGGCTATTGTGAATAAATGCTGCCATGAACAGCTGTGTGCAAGTTTTTGTGTGGACATATATTTTCAATTGTCTTGAGTATATACCTAGGAGTGGAATTGCTGGGCCATATGGTAATTCCATGTTTAACTTTTGAAGGAAATGCCAATTGTTTTGCAAAGCAACTGTATCATTTTACCCATTCCCACTGGCAATGCATAAGAGTTCCTGTTTCTCTACATTCTTGTCAACACTTGTTATTATCTGTTATTTTTATTTTTATTTTTTTTTGAGACAGAGTCTCGCTTTGTTGCCCAGGCTAGAGTGAGTGCCGTGGCGTCAGCCTAGCTCACAGCAACCTCAGACTCCTGGGCTCAAGCAATCCTTCTGCATCAGCCCCCTGAATAGCTGGGACTACAGGCATGCGCCACCATGCCTGGCTAATTTTTTTTCTATATATTTTTAGTTGGCCAATTAATTTCTTTCTATTTTTAGTAGAGACGGGGTCTCGCTCTTGCTCAGGGTGGTTTTGAACTCCTGACCTTGAGCAATCCGCCCGCCTCGGCCTCCCAAAGTGCTAGGATTACAGGCGTGAGCCACCACGCCCGGCCGTGGATTTTCTTTGTGGAAAGATTTTCAGTTACTAATTCAACTTACTTGTTATAAGCCTATTCAGATTTTTTATTTATTTTAAAGTTGGTTTTGGTCATGTGTCTTTCTAGGAATTTGTCCATTTCATCTGAGTTGTCCAATTTGTTGGCATGAAGTTGTTCGAAACATTCTCTAAAAATCTTTTTAATTTCTACAGGTTGGTAGTGATGCCACCCTTTTCCCTTCCTGATCTTGGTAATTTAATTCTCTTTTTTTCTTGGTCACTGAAGGCTAAGATCAATTTTGTTGATTTTTTTCAAAGAACCAACTTTTGTTTTCATTGATTTTCTCTATTGTTTTCCTGTTTTCAATTTCATTGGTTTCTGTGCTCATCTTTATTTCCATCCTTCTGCTTGCTTTGCATTTAGT